CTTTGTGCTCGCCCCCTGTCGCCGTAACTTGGCCGGTAGCGGGCATTCCCAGGACGCGGCATCCGTCCGCCGCCGTGCCGATCGGGACCGGGGAAAATAGCCAGGCCCCGTCCTCCGGCCCGGCTCCTGTCCGGGTAGTCCCGTGACTCCTACCGGCGGTCCACCTTCAGCCGCCAGAGCTAACCAAGGGCCCGCCCCCGCAGGCAGGGCCGTCAGGGTGGCGTAGACGGGGTCGGCCGGCCCTCCTCATAAGGCCCGACGTTCGGTCCGTCCTCTTCGGGCAGGTACGCCCCTGCGCAGACGTCGTCTTCCTTCTCGACGCGGCTCTCGTAGCGGCGAGCGACGACAAAGCTGCGACCTCTACGAGGTCGACGCTGTTGTCGTTTCTGTTACTAAGTGGATTAGCGTAGCTACAATCCTTTCTCGAATATTCGCTGGAATATTCTTCGAATATTCCAGGCAATATTCGAGATTACAAATTTCATGTTTGATTTTCCTATAGAAAAAGAAAGCTATTCTTCAGAAAGGATGAAAATGCGTATCCCAAGCGGCGCCTCCTGGGAATCCGCGATCACAAAACAAAATCTGTAAAAAAGTTAAGAACCATTTACATGGTTAACTGGTCGACGCTAGGTTTCCCCGCAAATCGGGGACCGTCGGAACAGAAATGTACTCCGTAGTCCCGAAAAAGGGCTAAATGGCCCTCAGAGAAACATGTGACCGGGTGGCCAAAAACCCACTCGTCACAGTTTATAACTTCTAATTTAAATCAATTCCACTTTATATGTCCGAGAGATTAAGTAGTTGAGTTCAAATATTTGAGACTGGTTTCACATGGATTGTATTCTCCTGAATTCCAAATATAAATTTGATTAAACCTCGTGCATTTTAAAAAGTTTTAATTAAATAAACATATAATTTTTAATTGTTTATATGTGAAAGTGAGGAAGTGTCTTTGGAAAGAATTTGAAAAAAATGGCTTATTAACAAATTAATGGAAAATAATTGATAGACAATTTCTAATAAAAAAATCAATAATGAACCACTAATCAATATTGGTTTGCCAGTATAAAATGATTTTGTTTTTAGCTTCTTCGAAAAAAGGGAGATTTATACAAAACACTTCCTAGTGCGTTATACAAAAATCTGTAAAATTCCCATTACTTTTACTACAAAGGAAGATAAATAATTTTTTAACATGTATTACTTCAATACTGTTTATTCATTGACAAAATTAATGAGTACAATATCTTTATACGCTGTGACGATGCACCCGGTGGGCTATCGTCTCAGGGCTCCATATCTTAAAACCTCCATCCGGCAAAGCATCAAAATCCTTTTCGAAGGCAGTGGTAATATATTTTCTCGTATCATTACATCCATGTCTTATTTCAGCACGCTCGACGCTCAAGGCCGAGGAGGAGAGGAGACCGAATATTCGTTGCATTGCCTTGCGTTTTTTTTTGATAGTATAAGTTGTGTATAACTTAGGCGTTAGGACGTCCTCGCGGTGAGGCGAGTGCGGCACAAGAAATCAACAGCCAAAGCGGGACAAGGGCGCCCTTGAGGGACCACAGAAGCGGACGACAACGGTGGCAGAGAGGCCTCGCCTCGCCGCCGCCCATGGGTGCCGGGACCGCGCGGAGTAGGGTCGAACGGAGCCACCCGCGATCCCGCGCTTAACAGGAAGGGCCGACCCATGGCGGCGTCGCTGGGTCACCGCGTCCACACCCGGATTTCCGGCCCCTCAATGATGGCGGGAGGAGGGCGCATTGCCGGTGGCCGTGGACCCCCTGCCGTGACCTTTGACTCAAGTGAGTCCATAAAAGGGCGGTGAGGGGGGATCCCAATTGCGTCGCCCTCCTGCGCCGAGGCCAGGCCGCAGTGACCCCTGGACGGAAGGGCACACTAGTTCCCTCAACCGGGAGCCGTTGCATCAGGGGATGTCGGCACCCCCGGGCAAAATCGCGAGGAATCTTGGCTCAATGGAGCCCAGGACCGGCGCCACCGAGTCTCGGAGGACAGACGTCCCTGGACCTGCGGATGACGTCACGCACCGGCCGCGCGCCCCGATTGGACAGCAGGATCCGCTTCAAATCCGACGCGCGAACCTGCGCCGCGGCTGTCATCACCCAAAATCCTCGCAATTTCGAACGCGACCGCTGTCAATTGGCCGACGCAATTTGGTAGCCGACGGCGGCCGACCAACGAGAACTTCGAGCCGCCGACGAGGAGCCTTCCCGGAGGACTGCGGCGAGGACCCGGCCTTCTTGGTCCGTGAGTGTCTAGGAGTGAAGACGTCATCGCACTTTCCGCTGCCTTCGCCCTGCCCTCGCTGCCTACAGTATAAGGACCTGGGGAGCTCGCTGGCAACGATGGATCCATCGGGGGAGCATCGTCGCACTCGCCGAGCCCGAGGTTTGAGCGTGCACTAACTTTGATAAAGTTTTGTATAGATTGTTGTAATTTTCACTGTTCCGTGTTTCCCCCGGGTAACCCGTCGTCGGGCCGCGCGCCCCGCGGTCGGCCCTTCCGCGTCTAATCGACCAAAGTCTCGCGTGAGCCGCCCTTTTTAATATTTTCGGCCAAAGTATCGTGTGAGCGGCCTTGTTGAAATAAAATATCTCTTGCTGCCTCTCTCCTCGGTCGGATCAAGAAGCCGTTTCGACCTGAACTCGAGAATGCTGTCTTGAGCGGTCGACACGTTAATTTCCTTTTTTTTTTCGCAAACTGCGAACTTCAAGTTAATTTTTTTTGTTTTCGCGAGGAGTGAACTTAATTTCCGTTTTCGCGATGTGCAAACTTATTGAATGATTCCCGTTGTCGCGATGTGCGAATTGTAATTAACTATGTCATTTTTCGCGAAGTGCGAATATTCTAACAGTTTTCGCTGTTTCGCGAAGTGCGAACTGTAGTGAATCAAAATAGTTGTCGCGAAGTGCGACCCATTATAAATTAAATTCCGTTTTTGGCGATAGGCGAACCCCGATCTTTTCTCTCATTTCGGCTGGATATTTCTTGTAGAACAGTGCCTGCCTTCGATTTAACTGTTCCCATTTATAAATCGAAAAGTAACTATTTATGTCCGGAATTTCAACTATTGTAAAATATTAGTTTGGTGATCCGATAAAATTTAGTTGGATCACAATTATTTCCGCGCAAATGTAATTTATGAAAATTTCATGTGTCCTAAATGTTTTTGTTTCTTGCGTCGATTATTTGCGCTGATATTTTGAACTTGCTGCCTTTTCTTGCTTTTTTCTTTTCTTGTATTTTTTGTGTTATTGCTGCCTTACTCGTCGAAACCTTTAATTTATTTTGCTTGCGTCTGTTCACCGTTTAACTATTTTCTTTGTGAATTTAGTCGTTTAAGGTTTCCCAATTTAATTTAGCGCCGTGTAGGTTTTTGCGTGCGTGCCCTTCTTAATTTTCGCGTTGCCTTTAATTTGATTACTATTCTGGTCCCGTAGTCGAGCCCAATTATAATCGAAGATATAGTTTCGCGTTTTAAACTTTTGTGTTTTGAATTTCGCGTTTTGGATTTTTGGCTATCTAAAGCGTCCCTTTTCGTGCGCTTCGTCGCCCCGGTCGATACCGGATTGTGGGCCCGCCCGTGGCCCTTTTGAGATCGTTAAAGTCAAGATTTTTCATTTTGGAATGAATAGGTAATTAATTTAATTCCGCCTCTGGTTAGCTTTTTTGAAAGGACCCCGCCCTATGCGCGGTCGCTTGGGCGTGCTGAGCTAGCCCGGTTCATTTTTCGTCGTCGGCGACGCTGCGTCTCGTCTCGTATCGCTACCTTTAGTTCAATTTTTACATGTCTGGGATGTTAAGATAATTTTGCTTCCGTTGGTTGAGGGACCGACCCTTCGGGCTTTATGCTGGTGCGAATCCGTGGGCGGGTTGGGAGGCTCATCGCTGGTGCGTGAGCTCCCGTACGCTGGTGCGAGCCCCAACAGATTGGGCCCGAGCGGTTCGGGTCCCGGAATTTGGAGGGCCTGGCGCCCAAATCTTTTGCTGTTGTTGAGCGAGTACGAGACGGAGACCCTATTCTGTTAATTATTTATGTGTGACTTCACCAGAGAGTCGGAACCTTAATTGCCAGAACTTTGTTTGGGAGTTATAGCAGTAAAAATAACGTCATAACGCATACAATGAGTAAATGCAATTTAGCACACACACATGAGTTACGACGACGATCCTACCCTCGCAACTGCGAATCACATGATCGATTCCCCGTCGACAAACTTACGCCCTTTTTTATTGAAACGTGGATCGGGTAGCAGACTCGCTTTCCCGATTCCAAAGGGCGCCATTCGGGTTTCACCACCTAACCAGGTATTCCCTATCTTCCCTCGTTCGGTCGGGTAGCTACTAGACTAGTCGGAGAGGGGGTCGCTTCGGGACGCTGAGGAGTTAGAAAAGGAGCAATCTACTATAATAAAAGATCGGAAAGGGCACCGCATTGGGTAATAGAGAAGGTTCCACAATCCATTGCGGAGCATATCTACATTTATAACGGTGTACAATAATAACTTAGAACTAAAATTATTGCGCTTCGATCGTGTTAGGAATTTCACAAACGTATAGCTTGTCCGTAAAATCTAGAACAACTGCTTTTGAATGAAATTCCGCCGTAACTACGGGTGCGTGTGGAACATTTCGCATTACTTCCCAAATGTGTGATACAGTCATTTTGCCAACGAGGAATGGTTTCACAATCAATTCCCTTACATTGAAAGAAGACGCATTGTTAGGTAGTAAGTAAATGTCCAGAATTTGTACAAATTTTCCGCTTTTCAAATGAATGACAGTGTCGTTAAATTTTGTCGATCGAGTATATTTGATGCTGCTATACACACAATTGGCATAAAAACATCTTTCGAATTTTTTGTTGATGGTAGATTTAAAAATATTTGTTGGGTGAGGCCCAAAGAACGTTATATTTCCCAACGCAACAGCACTTTTCGTGCATGTCTTTGAGGAGAAAATTTTTCTACAGACATTTTTTGCTTCCATCGAAATATTTGCCGCTGGTGGCCGAACCCGGTATTTCAATATATTAAGAAATTTCTTTACCATTTGTTGTTCGACGCTTTTGGGGCCACTAAAGGTTTTTTTAGAAAGTGAATATTATTTTCAAACGGGAAAGCAGATGTTCCCCATGGAGGACCGGTATGACGGATTGATTCTACAAAGTGTGTTAGGACATGTATGTTAAAAGTTGTTCGCTCGACACCGTACAATGATTCGTACTTGGCAACAAATGTCAATAAGTCTTGTTCGCATTTATCAAGCTCATCTTCCGAAATTTCCATTTTTAGTAAAGTAAACATACTGTTAATGAACAAAGCGAAATGTTCTAAGAGATCTCTTGCAATAAAAGTGGAGCATATTGGAAGAGAAAAGTACAGCATCCATGCTTTCCAATGGGTTGCTTTCCAAATGCTTTTACTCGATATCTTTTCTGTGCATCTATGTAAATCTCGAGGTGGTTGTATGAGAAGAAGGAGATCGTCAATACCCTTACGTTGCGAGGGAGTTAGAATACTGTTCCAATTATTCCACACTTGTTCTGTTACCCCGAAGAGCCCATTATGCAAGTAATCAAGTGGGAATTCCCATACCATGTCAACGTCCGGCATTTGAAGAAAAGCCGATTTCTCTTTGACTCCTCGTACAAACGAACCTCGATCTTTCGCTTGAACCAAGTCCTCCATGGGAAGAATGAGTTCTTAGTTCTGGTTCCTTTTCTAAAAATGGATATTTCATTCCTTTATCCTTAATATGTACACCCCTATGATAACAGTAACTACAACCGTAGTAGTCGTTAAATTGCAATCTGTTTTGTAGAATAGGTCGTGCAACAGAATCGGCGACAACAAAAACTGGTGTGAAACGCAACGTAATTTCTCTCTGAATTTTTTAATTTAATTTGAATTCCTTCAGAATGTAGACGACTTGCTTGCTTCCAGAATTCTTCTATGTACAGATTCATCAGATCTGGTTTTGGTTCCTCTTTGACAATCATAACACCGACTAAGATTGAAAATTTAAAACGAAGATGCAGAGGCAAATTGTTTAGTTATAATTGTAATGGCCAGAAGCCTCTTTTCGTAATGTGCAACAAAGGAGCACCATCAGTGCTAATTATATACGTTATTGTGTTGGGATACATCTTCACTGCTTTTTGTGCAAAAAACTGGGATGAACATCCCGCATGACTCCGGCATTTGTTTCAGCCGTTAGAAATCGTTCACTTTCACGATTCAGCGATTTCATTGTTTTCCAGAAGGGTTCGCAATACTTGTTCGAAATCTACTGTCAAAAAATGATTTGGATTGGAAGTTTCATACAATGCTCCGCCTGACAAATACCATATCCCAATGATTGACCTTTAATACCTCTTTTGTCAGTAGAAATTAATACCTTCTTCATATACTGAGTACAATAAAAATGAAATTTTAATTTCTCAGGTGGAGGATCAAATACTTGGGAAATTTTATAACCGGACAAATTAAAATTTTTGAAATCAGACCCTGCACAAATTTTAAACATATTAATACTCTCCGCTCTATAACGCTTGAAAACGCTCGAAAACGTTCGAAAACCTTCGAAAACGTTCAAAAATGCTCTAGAAACGCTTGAAAACCCTTGATAACGCAGGTAGGGAAATGTAAAAATCATACGCGAAATGACTCGGCTTATATCCGCAGTTAAGTAAGCCACGGGAGGATTATTCGCAGTATTCGACTCTCACGCATACTCGTCGAGCGCAGCGCTGAACGCACACATACTCAACGTCTCGACCCGTAGCTTGGCTGGTTGGGACGCGCTAAGATTTCTAGGAGCGATCGCGCTCATACAGATTCGCTGCATGAGGGTTCCGTGCGCTACACCGACGCGTACCCCAAAGGTCCGCATCACGTCGACTTCGAGGCAACAATGTACTTAATAGCAGGAGATAAGTAGATAAAGTGAAATGGAGCGTCACGAGTGTTCTTCCCTTGCCATCAAAAGCGAGCAGTGTCGGTAAGCGTAGGTAAGCCACCACCGTCAACTGCCGCATGGTATTACCATCACGAATATGTGAGCCGCCAACGGCGACTGGTAGATGGTACCACCATCGTGAGTGCGCGAGCTCCTATCAGAAATTCGTTGCGCCGCCCTTGGGGGCAAAAACGGTGAAAGCTAACGTACGAAACCAGAGGGCAGCACAGGATGAGATTGCACGATCCTGCCCGTGAACAATTTCTCAACTCATCTCTCGTATGTTTATGTGGACAACTTGGAATTTCTTTTATAGAGAAAAGAATAGAATATTAATTTTTTCAGCCACAGTCCTTGAAAAAGTAATTTGGTTTATTAATTTCAATTCAACAAGGTACACTGGCAGACAAGAATGCCCTCCTCCTGTATATGGCGCCGCCAGGTGGTGGGGTCGGGTACCACAAACTGCAGCAGCGGCAAGTTTAAACCGGAGAGAAGGCTCTAGTGAATGTTTATAAGACATTTTATGTTTGTAAATAAAATAAATTGTTGGAAACGTAATGAAAGTTGATTCTGTAACGCATTTCGTATATTTTATAAATTTTTTTCCGTAACCGCCAACCGGAACGTAAAAATTATACGTTCAAGTACGAATTGGCAAAGGTTTATCAATTTATTGTATCATTTGTAAAAAACACGAATACGCCATTAAATTCATTATTTAATTGATAAGATAACCGACTCGTTAACCCGTGCATTTATTTATTCATTAAAATGGTAATTTCATTATTTCCGCTTATTGCCATCTTCGATTACTCACATGGATTCGCACTTGATCCCTGTAGAAGGGGAGACATTGCGTATCGAGGAGCGCGAGAGCGCGTTTGAATTTGCCCGCGGTGTCACCTGGTCTCCTGACAGAAGAGCGTTACAACATGGAGTCCAAAGCGAGCGCGGACGAGAGATCGGCGAATCGCGTGCCCTGCGGCCGCTAGGGATCGAGCAGGTGGGTTTGGTCCCCTCGCCCCCCAACGGCAACCCCTGCTATGGCCATCTCTCTCATATGCACACTGTTTAAAAAAGTCATAAAGTTCATACACTTTTAGTACGCATTGTTGTAGTAAAATTATAAATTTGATGTCTTAACAGTGAATTAGCATACATTTATTATATAATTCTATACCAATTTATAATTACATAACATCATGTTGTTATTTTATGAAATTTCGTAGAAAAATTATAAATTTGATATTCGAGTCATTTATTACACGTTTTTTGTTTTATGTGAGTTTTTGATTTTATGATCGTTTGTATGAGTTTATTTTCAAATGAAATTAATCGAGATATAAAAA